GCAGTCCAATTTGTGTTGAAAACCCTGCATTCAGCATCTACCTTTCTTTTTTTAGTGGACATTTTGAGGGCTAAAGTCGTCTTGTGACAAGGATCCAATCATGTGCACGTCTTGATATACGTATTGCGTCATTATGCACGTGAATAAAAAACAACTTCAAAATAAAAGCAATGCAGCTTTAGTCCATGCATGAGGTAAAGTTAGAAAATATGTTTATTTTGTAATTTCCAATTAGCCTTACACGGGCCGGTCAGAGTCAACCAAAGGGCCGTATGTGGCCCGGGGGCCGTACAATGCCCAGGTCTGGGTTAGATTGAAGGGAGGGAAGAGAACTGCTACCCGGGAGCTACTCGCTAGGTGGCAGTGTCACGAAAAACTAGGGTCGTGAGAGTGCGGTCGTGAGAGTGCAGCCTCCGAAAGCCTCCGACGCTGCAGCTTCATGCTACTCGGTAGAAACATGTTTTTTTCTGCTGTAAAGTTGGGCATTTTAACATGGGGGTCTATGGAAATTGCTCCTTTCTGCAGTCATCGCCTATCGGCCAATAGATGAACTGCAATGTGTGGCACTTCCGTATTGGCGTCCCGGCTCTTCCCCAGAGTTTGCCGCTTGGACTGGACGCAGAAAAAGCGTTCGACTCAGTTAAATGGTCATTTCTGTACAAAACTCTGCACAAATTTCAGTTTAATAAAAATGTCATACAGACAATCAAGGCTCTTTATAACAAACCAACGGCGAGAATACAAATAAATGGCTCCCTTTCAGGACCCATCGAATTGGAGCGTGGTTGCCGCCAGGGATGCCCTATAAGCCCCCTCCTGTTTGCGCTCTTTATAGAGCCTCTGGGCCAAATGATAAGGCAAAATTACCAAATACATGGAGTCTCGTTGGCAAGAGAAAACAAAATAGCGATGTTCGCGGACGACGTCCTTGTCTATATGACGCGTCCGGCCCATTCTCTTCCTGTTTTGCTGCAAACACTGTCAGAGTTTGGAGCAGTATCAGGTTACAAATTGAATTCTCATAAATCCCAGCTCTTAACACTTAAGTACCAGCCAGCCAGCAATTCAAAGACAAATATGCCATTAGGGAGGTCGACAGTTTGAAATACCTGGGTGTGCAGATTCCAAGGGATCTAACAAACCTAACCTCCGAAAATTATGACCCACTGCTTTCTAACATTAGGAAAGATCTAGCTCGGTGGGGCCTGCTGCCTTTTCTGGGCTTGATCCAGCGTGTTGAAATAATTAAAATGATTACTCTCCCGAGGCTGCTCTATTTGTTCCAGTCACTGCCAGTGGATATCCCAGATAAAACATTTATAGAATGGGACAAGTGGATTTCAGACATCATGTGAACAAACTGATTAGTAAAGAGGATATGTTAAAATCACTATCTGGAACTGGTATATTAAGTGTCTTTATTTCGGCATACAGAGCTGACCAAGATCACAAGACTTTTTCTAAGTTGTATAAGGGCCTCCGGGAGCAGTGGGGTGAACACGTCCTACGTAAAGGAAAAGTGGGAAAGTGAAGGAAACTTTGTCTTATCAATAGAAGAGTAGGAAAACTGAATTGAAAGGCAATGGAAATCAACCAACTCACTAACATTTGATGATTTGATTTGATATACTTTATTAATCCCCGTGGGGAAATTGTTTCTATGCATTTGACCCATCCTAGTGTTAGGAGCAGTGGGCTGCCATTTTGAACAGCGCCCGGGGAGCAGTGTGGGGAACGGTGCCTTGCTCAGGGACACCTCGGTAGCACTTGGTCTTGCCGGGACTTGAACTGGTGACCTTCCAGTTGCCTACCAAGCCAAGTCCGTATCGACTTCGCCACCACATGGAGAGAGTTTAACTGGAAAAATCTGGTCAGATACTTTATAACACCAGTGCAGTCAAGGAGGGGGCAGATGGTGTGCTGGAGAGGCTGTGGATCTGTGAGGGCCAATCACCATCATGTGTTTTGGGAATGCCCTGGGATGGTTCACTATTGGGACTCAATAAGAGATGGAATGGAAAGAGTTTTACAAATTGAGATTGATCTCTGCTTTCAAGTACTGTACCTGGGTAAGATACCACAACAGATTCTTGGCTTCTCAACAATGTACATGTTTAAAATAATGCTAGTCGCCAGTAAAAAAGCCATAACGAAAACATGGTTAACCAGTTAAGCCCGAAGGTCCCCCCAGTGGACCCCTCCCACAGTTTTTTTTTTCTCACATGTCTCAGGGCTTCTTAACATTTATGAAACTATTAATGTTTCATACCCTTTTAAAGGTAAGAAACTCCGCTAACTGACAATAAGAACAATTGTTAGCTAAAAAAAACACAAGAGTAATACCAAGCCTTTGAATTAGCATTGAGCGAAAAAATGCTAACTAATGCTAACGCTTTTTTACACACAACACACGGTAGAAATGCCCTTATTACTATCTTAACTGCACAAAGATATACGATTTAAAGCTGAGACTCCACAGATTCCACACATGTAATGTCATCACTGTCCGACCTCGAATTCCTGGAGCTATCAGCCAGAAATGAGAAAGTAAACAACATCCGGTTCCAAAAATATTACAATAATTACGTCTTACCTTTTTTGATTTGTGATCAAAAGTTGTGTTCAACGGAATAAAAACGCATCTCAAGGTTAATCCAATGTCTTTGTGTCACGTAGAATTTTTTTACTGATAATCAATCATCATATTTATGGCAATATACTCGGTATAAAGTATTGCCGTCCAGGCTTGCACTTTCAGATATGCTTCGTTTGCTTCTCTATTACGTCCGCTATGGTAATGTTTACGTAGATTTGGGAACTGCCCATCGATTCTATTGGTTCTGATGGTTAAGAAAAAGGTGTAAATCACACGAATCGACCAATGGGTTCCAGAGATATGGTCCTGCGCAAATTATAAAGAATGGCAGCCAGCTTAAGTACATTACGCAGCCGACTTCATTTATTGTTTACAGCGTAAAGAAGCAGGTATTGCAGCAGGACCCAGAGCGCACGGAGCACAGAGCGGACAGCAGATAACGGAATTGCAGTTTTATTGCTTATAGATTATCAGAACATTTCAAAGGGGACACAGCCCCATTGGATATTAATCTATGGATTAACTACATCATCGTTTTTATCGTTTTAATGCCATTGAAGACCAGTTTAGACCAGACTACGAGGAAGGTAAGTCATTGTTAGCCTAGCGCATTAGCGCTAGCGCCATTTGTTTTGATGTAGGTTTTTGTTGATAACGTCGCGAGTTTGTATCTTTCAGTGTTGGGCTGTTCAGGTGGGCACCGTTAGATTCTGTGTCTCCTTGCGATCATAAACAATGTGTTGGATGTGCAGCTAGGATAAGTAATAAGGGAGCGAGGAGTGATTTTCGGTGCAGTAATAGGTTAGCATGTTTCGCTCGGGGCTAATTCAGAGGCTCACTGTAAGAGTAAGCCTATGTTTTATTTTTTTTTATTTTTTTTTCACAACAGTTGTATTTGGATGGAATGAATACCTATAGTGATAATTCAAAGTAATAAAATGATTTTTACAGTGAAAAAGTTCAAATGGAACCGATGGTTCCCAAATTACCCAGAGGTGAGTCCGCTTAGACTTTATTTTTTTAAATCTCTCTAAAAAGGTCAAATTTCACTTGTTTTGCATCAATCTTGATACAGGATACTTATTATATGTTATAGTTTGGATTCCTAAAGCTTTTAGTCTACTAACCCATCATGCAAGGGTGGTTTTCACTATAAGTAAAGGTTTTTTGTTTAGGTGGACATTAGAATGTACATGTTTTTACTATGTTCCATCTGAATTTACTTTAAAATAAAAACATCTATATTGATTCTGACACTTCTACATCCAACTCACAGATGTAACCTTGCTTTGAGGAAAATAATTATTAATTTACCCCTTTTAGAAGTGAAGATATATCATTTGTTGTGTTAGTGGCATTTTCGAGCCTGAAACCTGAAAAACAGGCTCAGGGCTTAACTGGTTAAGCCAAATACCACCTACTCTAGCAGACTGGTTTAATGTGATGCACGACATTTTTGTTATGGAAAAATTAACATTTGCTCTAAGACTCAAGACAGACACATTTGACAAGTGTTGGAAGGGATGGATCGAGTTAGATCAGACTTCAGCTAACAACTCTATTTGTAATGTAACCCCCTGATTCTCTGCTACACACAATGGTTTTGTTTTTTTGTTTGTGTCTCTGTCTTTTCATGTTCGTTTGTCTGTATGCGTGATTCACATTATTTGCTTTTTATTATTTCCCAAAAAATGTAAGATGGTCTGTAACTGTTTGTTTTTGTGTGCAAATAAAAAATAAATATTACATTTAAAAAAAGAAGCAAACTACGGTTATTGCCATAAATATGAGGATGGATTATCAGTAATAATTTCAAAGTGACACAGAGACATTGGACTAACCTTCAGCAGCGTTTTGTATGCGTTTTAATGCCATTGAACACAACTTTTGATCAGAAAACAGCAAAGGTAAGACATATTTGCCGTTTTGGCTCCGTAAAGTGAAGTTGTGTGTCGTCTTTGCTGGTCTTTGCTGCCGGGAGGTTTGGTCTCTCAGTGATGATACGTATACCATTGGAATCTGTGGAATCTCAGCTTTCATATGATATCTAGTTTGTGCAGATCCGATATATAAGTATATAATATTTCTATCGTGAGTTATGTGCTAAGTGGGTTAGCACTCTTTCGCTTAGTGCTAATTCAGAGGCTCGGCGTTAGACTTGTGTTTGTTTCGGTAGACTTGTGTTTTTCGGTAACCTGGCCAGGTTAAGTGGGTGTGACACATTAATAGTTTGTTAAATGTTAAGAAGCCATGAGACAGTTTTGTTCAATATTGTTGTGTTTGCCCCCAGAGGTTAAAGGACATTTACTATTTTATGAATGCAAGTTATTAATTTACATACATAAAGTTGAATAACTAATGAAACATGAGATCTCCAGCAGTAACAGAGAGTCAGTGAACTGACCTGAGAGTCTCCAGTCTGCAGTCTGGACTCTCCAGAAGATCTCTCAGCAGCTTCACTCCTGAATCCTGCAGATCGTTGAGACTCAGGTCCAGATCTCTCAGATGGGAGGGGTTGGACTTCAGAGCTGAGGTCAGAGCAGAACAGCTGATCTCTGACAAACTGCACCACCTCAGTCTGAATAAAGAAAACATGATGTAAGTTTAGAAAACAATGTTCCTGTTTGAAATAACTCCAGGTTTAATAATCTGTTCAGAGTTAAACAGGGTTTTAATGTCAGCGATGAAGCAGAAACAATCCATTGATGATCTGGAACTTTAACTTTGATCAGATGTTTATCAACTCCTTCATCTCCCTCACAGCTCATCAGTACTGACAGCATCTCCACTGACTCATGGAGCACAGAGTGAGTCAGTGGAAGCTCAGACACTCTCCCTCACACTTTCACCTTGTCTTCGTAGAGTTCAGAAAATCATAAACACAAACGGATCCATATGAAGTTCAGTCAGTGAACTGACCTGAGAGCCTCCAGTCTGCAGTTTGGACTCTTTAGTCCAGAACTCAGACGCTCCACTCCTGAATCCTCCAGAGCGTTCTCACTCAGGTCCAGATCTCTCAGATGGGAGGGGTCAGACTTCAGAGCTGAGGCCACGACTTCACATTCAGCCTCTGAGAGTCCGCAGTCAGTAAGTCTATAATAACACAAATATTACAACATGTGTTTAAAAGAGGGAACATTATATTAACCTCAAAGACTTCATGAAATAATATTTGACATACAGTATGTTCTGAATGACATTTGCTGATGCCATTTTATAATATATCTAATAATATTAAATGATTATTATAATTTAGTTTAATGTGTGCGTTAATGTCTGATCACATGTCTGTGTTGGCTACCTTCTGCTGTCAGAGGCTGTTGCTAGATTGCTTCTCTGAGCATCTGAACATGTATTTTGAACACAAGCACAAATAACAAACCACTAAGGTTTCAACCATCAGCAAGATGTTCTCCGTATATCAGCATTAAGGTGAGACACCCCAGGTGAATAGGGTAATTTTTTTAACTTAAAGGTATCAGCTAGAAATTTCTCCAGTTAATTACTTACAATAAGGCAATTGTCTTTTGTATTACAAGTTTTCTGAAATAGCATGTTTAAATATGCAAATTATACATTATCTCATTAAATATGCACATATTTTAACACATTTCAGGAATCGAAATCTGAACTTTGGATAAAGCCAGGTTCAAAACTCTTGTTTAATTTTGTAGTCATATTAGTATCTAAGGCTTTTACAGAAGGGATATTGGATATCTCTTTTTATCACTCCATAAATCAGAAAATACTGTCAACAGCCCTAAAATATCCATTTTCGCCATGTTTTTAGGTACAATGTTGTATAATTCAGGCTATGAATGATATATGAACAAACCCTTCTGTTAAAGCCTTCATAATATTGATAGGAATATAACTGGAAGGTTTGGTGTATGTACGTGCTACTGAAGTTGAAATTTCGAACTCAGAGTAGGAGAAAAAACTCATTTTGAGAAAAGGACCTTTAAAGATTGCAGTGAGGCGCTAGCTAAACCCTCCTGTTCTTTGGATGACAGCTTGCGCATCGACGCACTCCGTGAAGGTATTTCATGTTCAGGGTCATTTTATTTAATATAACCTTGCTTCGTGCAAGTGACAATTGTTGTCGTCTTCTCTGTGAACGTTTTTTTTCGCCGTTCTTTTGGCATTTTGAGATTTCAATTTCTAGCTGAAAGCTAACCAGGAAGTGTTTTAGCACACCACGTGACGCATCTGAACGAATCACGTTGTCAGAAATTGACACCAGCCAATGAGATTTCGTTTCTTGGTTTAAGACCCCTTTGTGCTTTCACGATTGGTTGCTGATACAAAGGAAATGACCATATTTGGATCCGATGAGATTGTGCAGGAGAGACGGAGCTTTCCAGCGATACCTCTGTTGACATGGTGCACACAGCGGTCGCGGTACTTTATGTTACGTTAGAAAGCTAACTTTTGGTGAATTTAGGAGAAATCTACAGACGCAAATAGACAAACTATAGTAAAACAAACACTTAAATGTGTATTTTGTACGTTTTCCTTCCAAAAGCCTGAAAGAAAACATGTTATGGAATCAAAATAGCACAAAATCTCAAAATTGACCAGTACTTGAAAAACGATGTTTTTGCCTGCCGTGTCTCGCCTTAAACTCTAATACATTGTAATAAAAAATGTGTTTAATGATAAATAAACTACCAGAAAGTAATAACTGATAACTGTAAGTCCTGCAGTGTGGTGCAACAGGATTTTTCAAAGATGTTTTTCGTTGCATGGCCTCAGATCTACTTCATATATTAAACAAATCTCTTCACTCAGGTATTTTTCCACAGGCCCTGAAAACTGCAGTCATTAAACCGCTCTTAAAAAAGAATAATCTAGATGCTTCAGTAATGAACAATTACAGGCCCATATCAAACCTGCCATTTCTAGGTCAAATCATTGAAAAAGTTGTTTTTCAACAGTTGAGTAATTTCTTGCATTTAAATGACTGTTTTGATGTGTTCTAGTCAGGCTTTCGTCCAAACCACAGCACTGAGACTGCTCTTGTAAAGGTCTTTAATGACATCCACTTAAACACAGACAGTGGCAGAACTTCAGTGTTAGTATTATTAGATCTCAGTGCTGCGTTTGACACTGTTGACCACAGCATATTACTAGACCGACTGGAACACTGGGTGGGACTTTCGGAAACAGTTCTGAATTGGTTTGAATCCTACTTAAAGGACAGAAACAACTTTGTTTCTCTAGGTAAACTCTTGGACCCTCCAAAAGCTCCTCCCCCCTCCTCACTTCTGTCAAGCGACTTTGTTACCCACTTTGAAAAAAAGGTTGATGATATTCGCTCTTCTTTTTCTGACTCACCTTTACTCACCGCTGGGTCACCAGACCCTCCTTCCACCAACACACTAACCTCCTTTTCCCCTCTCTCTCCAAGTGAGGTTCTTACCCTCATTACCTCTGCCCGCCCTACCACCTGTCCTCTGGACCCTATCCCTTCAAACCTCCTTCAGACTATCGCTCCTGATATTCTACCGTTTCTCACCCATTTCATCAACACTTCTCTAACTTCTGGTCACTTTCCAAACAGTCTCAAGGAGGCAAGAGTAAACCCTCTCCTAAAGAAACCACTCTCAACCCGTCAGATGTTATAAACTACAGGCCTGTCTCTCTCCTCCCGTTCCTGTCTAAATCACTTGAACGCGCTGTCTTTAAACAACTCTCCTGTTATCTCAATCAGAACAACCTTCTGGATCCACACCAGTCTGGTTTCAAGGCAGGTCACTCCACAGAAACTGCTCTCATTGCTGTCAGGGAGGAACTGCACACTGCCAAAACTGCATCCCTCTCCTCTGTCATCATCCTGTTGGACCTGTCTGCTGCATTCGACACGGTGAATCATCAGATCCTCCTTCGCACTCTCCAAAAACATGGAGTTTCAGGCTCTGCACTTTCCCTCCTCACCTCATACCTGAAAGACCGTACCTACAGGGTGACTTGGAGAGGGTCTGAGTCCCACCCTTGTCAATTAACTACAGGGGTCCCTCAGGGCTCTGTTCTTGGTCCCCTCCTCTTCTCCCTGTACACAAACTCGCTCGGATCAGTCATTAGCCCGCATGGTTTTTCATACCACTGCTACGCTGACGACACCCAATTAATTCTGTCCTTTCCCCGCTCAGAGACCCAGGTCGTCGCACGCATCTCTGCTTGTCTAGCTGACATCTCTCAGTGGATGTCTGCTCACCACCTCAAGCTCAACCTTGACAAGACTGAGCTGCTCTTCCTCCCGGGAAAAGATTGTCCCACTCTTGACCTAACAATCAACATCGGCACCTCAGTTGTTTCCCCGACTCAGACTGCAAGGAATCTGGGTGTGACCCTAGATAACAACCTGTCCTTCACTGCAAACATCGCTGCTACAACCCGCTGCTGCAGATACACGCTTTACAACATCAGGAAGATACGTCCCCAGCTGACTCAGAAAGCGACTCAGGTTCTGGTCCAGGCTCTCGTCATCTCACGCCTAGACTACTGCAACTCCCTCCTGGCTGGTCTACCTGCATGTGCCATCCGACCTCTGCAGCTCATCCAGAATGCAGCGGCTCGTCTGGTCTTCAACCTTCCTAAATTCTCCCACACCACTCCGCTCCTCCGCTCCCTTCACTGGCTTCCGGTAACTGCTAGAATCCACTTCAAGACACTGGTACTTGCGTACCATGCTGCGAATGGATCTGGCCCTTCCTACATCCAGGACATGGTTAAACTGTACACCCCAGCACGTGCACTACGCTCTGCATCAACCAAACGACTCGTTGCGCCCTCGCTGCGAGGGGGACCCAAGTTCCCATCGGCAAAAACACGTGGGTTTGCTATCCTGGCTCCAAAATGGTGGAATGAGCTCCCCATTGACATCAGGACGGCAGATAGCTTGCACATCTTCCGGCGCAAACTGAAAACTCATCTCTTTCGACTCCACTTCGAGCGTTAGAACTATTAACGAAGCACTTTTATACTAATAAAGGACTGGCTTACCTAAAGCCAGTTGAGTAGCACTTGAAATGTTTGGCTCTATGAAACCTGATGTACTTTATGATTCTGTTTTCTTCAAGGTTGTGTCTTCCTGGTCGAATGTACTTATTGTAAGTCGCTTTGGATAAAAGCGTCAGCTAAATGCAATGTAATGTAATGTAATGTAAAATACACATCTGAGTTGACAAATATGACATGTGGGGTTCCTCAAGGCTCCATCTTGGGGCCTCTTCTCTTTAACATCTACATGCTACCACTGGCTCAGATAATGAAAAACAACAAAATAAGTTACCATAGCTATGCAGATGACACACACATTTACGTAACAATTTCACCAGGAGACTATGCTCCAATTCAAACACTGAGTAAGTGCATTGAACAAATCAATGACTGGATGTGTCAGAACTTTCTCCAATTAAACAAAGATAAAACTGAGGTAATGGTTTTTTGAGCCAAGGCAGAACGTATAAAAGTTAGCGCTGAGCTTCAGTCTGCAATGTTCAAAACAACAGATAGAGCCAGAAATCTAGGTGTAGTCATGGACTCTGACCTGAGTTTCAACAGTCACATTAAAACAGTTACTAAATCAGCCTACTATCACCTGAAGAATATATCTAGGATTAAAAGACTAATGTCACAGCAGGATCTGGAAAAACTTGTCCATGCTTTTATCTTCAGTAGACTGGACTACTGCAATGGTGTCTTCACAGGTCTCACTAAAACATCTATGAGGAAGCTGCAGCTGATTCAGAACGCCGCTGCTCGAGTCCTCACTAACACTAAGAAAGTGGATCACTCCAGTTCTGAAGTCTTTACACTGGCTTCCTGTGTGTCAAAGAATAGATTTCTAAATACTGCTGCTGGTTTATAAAGCTTTGAATGGTTTAGGCCCAAAATACATTTGTGACCTCCTGCTAAATGATGAAGCATCCAGATCTCTCAGGTCTTCAGGGACTGGTCAGCTTTCTGTCCCCAGAGTCAGAACTAAACATGGAGAAGCAGCGTTCAGTTATTATGCTCCAAATATCTGGAACAAACTCCCAGAAACCTGCAGGTCCGCTGCAACTCTGACTACTTTCAAATCCAGCAAGAAGACTTTTATTTTTGTCGCTGCTTTTAATTGAACTATTCATATCTTAGACTGCACTGTAACTTTTATCCATGTACTTTTTCTTTTCATGTTTATTTTATTAGCTTTTCTTTTTAATGACTGATTTTAAATGACATTTTCTTAATCTCTTTCATTTTTTGTAAAGCACTTTGAATTGCCTTGTGTTGAAAAGTGCTATATAAATAAACTTGCCTTGCCTTGGTGAGATCACATGCTGAGAAACCTCTAGAGTCCTTCATGTGTTTGACATGTCCTCTCCACTCAAAGGAGTATGAAGAGGGAAAAACTGTTCAATTTAACTATTATTATAAATAAATAGAAGAACAGCGTTGGTTTTAATTTGCTCTCAGTATTTAAACAGCAGAAATGTTATAGTGTTTATTTGAATAATTAAACTTCTGATCCACATCAGTTTATAAAGTTAATCACATCTGGACTCACGTGGCCTTCCTGCAGTTCCTCACAGCTGGAATCAGTCTCCGTTTCCCCCCCTGTGATGTTTTGTACTTCTTCAGGTCCAACTCATCCAGAACCTCCTCTGACATCTGCAGCATGTCTGCCAGAGCAGAGCAGTGGATCATAGAGTGTATCTTCTTTGATCTGTTCTCTGACTTCAGGAACTCTGTGATCTCCTGATTTACTGAGTGGTCCTTCATCTCTGTCAGACAGTGGAGGATGTTGATGCTCCTGTCAGCAGAGATGCTATCACTTCTAAACTTCTTCAGGTTGCTGATGGCTCTCTGGATGGTTTCTGGACGGTTGTCTGTGCGACCCAGCAGGCCTCCTAAGAGTCTCTGGTTGGACTCCAGAGAGAGGCCGTGGAGAAAGCGGACAAACAGGTCCAGGTGGCCATTTTCACTTCTGAAGGATTTCTTCATGACTCCTTTTAGGAAGACATCCAGGGATGGGTACTCCTGATCACGGTTTTTACTGTTCTCATAGGGCCAGTCTCTCTTCAGGAAGTTCTTCAGTACCGCTGTGTCTCTGTTGGTGTAACAGTGGAACAAGTAGACTGCAGCCAGAAACTCCTGAATGCTCAGGTGAACAAAGCAGTAGACGGTTTTCTGGAAGATCACACTCTCTCTTTTGAAGATCTCTGTACAAAGTCCTGAGTGCACCAAGGCCTTGGTGACACCAAGACCACAGCGCTGCAGGTCTTCTTGGTAGAACATGATGTTTCTTTTCTTCAGTTGTTCAAACGCCAGCCTCCCCAGCTTCAGAAGAAGCTCCCTGTCAGCCTCCGTCAGCTGCTGTGGACTCGTCTCATGTCCCTCTTCATACTTCTGCTTCTTCCTCTGTGTCTGGACCAGAAGGAAGTGTGAGTACATGTCAGTGAGGGTCTGGGGCAGCTCTCCTCTCTGGTCTGTAGTCCACATGTGGTCCAGAACTGCAGCAGTGATCCAGCAGAAGACTGGGATCATACACATGATGTGGAGGCTCCTGGAGCTCTTGATGTGAGAGATGATTCTGCTGGACAGGTCTTCATCACTCGATCTCCTCCTGAAGTACTCCTCCTTCTGGGCGTCAGTGAAGCCTCGTACCTCTGTTACCCTGTCCACACACTCAGGAGGGATCTGATTGGCCGCTGCAGGTCTGGAAGTTATCCAGACGAGAGCCAAGGGAAGCAGCTTCCCCCGGATGAGGTTTGTCAACAGCACGTTGACTGAGGACTGCTGAGAGACATCAGACACAACATCATTGTTTCTGAGGTCTAGAGAAAGTCTGCTTTCATCCAGGCCGTCAAAGATGAGCAGCACTTTGCAGACAGCCAGCTGCTCTGCTGTGACCTTCTGTAAGGTTGGATGGAAAACATGGAGCAGCCTGAGAAGACTGTACTGCTCACCTTTGATCAGGTTCAGCTCCCTGAAGGAGAGCGGGATCACCAGACTGACATCTTGGTTCCCCAAACCCTCGGCCCAGTCCAGAGTGAACTTCTGCACTGAGAAGCTTTTTCCAACTCCAGCGACTCCGTTGGTCAGGACCGCTCTGATGTGAGTCTGTTGGTCAGGTAAGGCTTTAAAGATGTCCTGGCACTTGATTGGAGTGTCATGGTGGGTCTCTTTCTTGGAAGCGGTCTCCAGCTGCCTCACCTCATTTCGGGTATTAACCTCTTCACTCTGGCCTTGTGTGATGTAGAGCTCAGTGAAGATGCTGTTGAGGAGGGTTTCACTTTTATCAGTTCCTTCAGTCACACGTTCACATCTCCTCCTCAGACTGTTCCTATGTTCATCTAAAACCTTCTGCAGACCACTATCTGCTGAGAGAGAAGGAACAGGAGAGAATATGAAAAATGCTTTTGAGAAAATCTTATTATAACAAAAGAAAGACACAATTAAAAAAAGTTAAAACAGCTTACTGTCTATGCCAGTGGTTCCCAAACGGTGTATATGTACGTAATCTGCGCGACTTGCGCGTCCACATCTCCACGTGCAGTGCTACATAAACATGGCTGAGTCAGCGATAACTCTCGAGGGGTGGAGGTATGCCCATTATTTTGAGTTGGTCCGAAGAATAGACAGGAATGTGACGGTGAGGTGCAAACTGTGTCCAGCCAGCAGCTGTTATCCACTGCTGGAAACACCACGTGGTCAAACCTCAACAAGCACCTGCAAAGAACACATGCTAAGGTGAAGCTACCGCACACGCTATGTGTTGTTTGTTTATATCACGTAGTCTGTTCTTCTTCTCTGTCTTCCGGTTGTTGCCTGTTTTGAATGACTAATACACACTACCGCCGCTTGCTGGTAAGGAAAGTTATTGCCACTCACGCATGCGCAGTTCGTACGTGCTCGGCGAGTAAAGTAACGAGTTACTTTATGTAGATAGTAACGAAGTAGTGTAATATATTACTTTTTTTTAAAAAGTAATATGTAATATATCTAGGGCTGTCAAACGATTAAAATTTTTAATCAGATTAATCACAGCTTAAAAATTAATTAATCAGATTAATTACCATTCGAACTATTTTCCAAAATATGCCATTTCTTTATGTATATTGTTGGGAATGGAAAGATAAATGAAAGAAGGCGGATATATCCATTTAACACAGTATCTATGTTTATTATAACATTTTTCTGCGTGTCAAAATGAAAGACAACCCACACACCTATCAATCATCAAACAGTAGGGTCTTAATTCATTACGTGTTGATTTCTATCAACGGGGGAGTACTTCAGGACTTCAGGAAAGTCGACGGGGGGGGGGGGGGGGGGGGTGGGGGGGGGGGGGGGGCGCGGCTCGTGGAGTACTTCTTGACCACAGAGTGTGAACGTTGTGATCAGCTGTTTTAGCGCAGTTCTCCAGTGAAGGGGGGGGAGTCTCCCTCCGCAGCCGGTTGGCGTAGTTTTGGCACAGTTCCGTTGTACAGACCGACGTTAACAGCAGCCCTGTCTGTGCACACGGAGACCGACTCTGTCGTCCGGTGATCTAACCGCCTTCTGAAAAAACCTTCACATGTACGTCTGTAGGCAAATGCGCTTTGTGACACAAGTGACGGTACGCATTTCAGATTACGCACATAACCTGCGTACCAGTTATGTGCACCCCTGTACTACAGCAAAAGTATTCTCCGTCGGGACTTCCTGCAACAACACCACGCCGTTATCAAAGATGTTCTATTGAGAAGACGATCACTACGTGATAAAAGTTTTCAAAACCGTGGCTACTGAAATCAATCTTACTAACTGCTGTCTGTGCAATTTACTCCGCGCGAGTTGGCGGACTTTATTTTGCTTACTTTAACATCATTTTTCATGGTGGGGCTAAGCCATTTCTTGGTACAGGTGTAGCCTACCCCAGCCATACCCTGGCGCTGCCACTGGTGGCACGTATGGGGCGGGCCATTCTGCACATGCGTTAAATGCGTTAAATATTTTAACGCAATTAATTCAAAAAATTAATTACCGCCGTTAACGCGATAATTTTGACAGCACTAATATATATTACATTTTTTTAGTAACGACCCCATCTCTGGAGTTGGCGTTCTCTACTCTGATTTACATGAAGAACAACAGGAGGCCACGGCTCTCTGTTGAACAGGACTTGCGAGTGGCCCTCTCCTCAGTGCCACCAAGGATTAAAAAATTCTGCGCGCCCCGACAGGCACATGTATCTCACTAATTTGTAAGTCGGCAAAATATTTACAATAGCACATGTTTCAATGCTGATTGTTGAAATGTTACATTTATAATTTGTAGTTCAGGACCATGGACAAAGCAGCTTCCTTGCATTGACAGTTCTCTGTGCTGAATTTCTGCTGAGTTTCCTTTGCCTCATTTTTAATTTTGTGACCCGTCTGGTTTAAGAGTGTGTTGCTGCTTTGATGAAGCCTAAGTTTGATAAAGTTTGAAACTAATTTCTGAAATATTTCGTTAATAAATATTTCATGAGTAATATAGTTGTCTTTGTCACATTTTATTTGGCATTAGTAAATAATTATGCACATTTACAGATATTTTACATGATATGAGTGATAACACGTGTTATAAGGGCTATTTTGCACAATAGGTGTGCCTTGAGATTTTTACTCATTTTTACTTGATCAGAGGACACTCTGAGCCAATGAGAGTTCATCCAAGAGTAGAGACCCAGCGCCCCGACGGCCTAAAGACGCTGCATGTGTTCGGCCTCTTACCTCGTACAGAGCTGGTCTGACTGGCTGTCTGCAGGCCAGCTCTGGTTCTGGATCTCTTTCCACACTGGGGACAGGAGGAGTCTCCTGATGGAGGGCGCTGCTTCCAGTATGAGGTGATGCACTGTCTGCAGAACCAGTGTCCACAGCTGGAAGAGACTGGATCCTTCAGGACGTCCTGACACAGAGCACAGCTGGACGGCTGCTGCTCCACAGGAACACGACTCTTCCTCTTCCTTCTGTGGAGATGAACACATCCTTTAGAGGAGCTGATTCTCACCAAAGGTTCAACAAGGGGGCCAATTCTAGTTCGATTTTAGAAAAAAGGTCTATATCTGTATATACAACACATTCTCACTCCCAACTTGGCCTATGTTGACGTCATGTCAGGGTCCCTGTCGTCACTTTCCAACGCAAGGGGGGGCCCTTTAGCGTCGAGTTTCAACTTTCGGCGAGGTCCATAGACTTCTACAGAGCTCCCTGAACGTATGTAGTAGACGAGTTGAGATCACGAGCGAATGCTCCCCGCTGCGTTGAAATTCAACGGCCGCGGCCGGTTCTCTTCTGAAGCATACGATGCGAGACTGCGTTGCATTAAAAACATTATGCTCTCTATATATTGTCTTTATTATGCTTTAAACGTTATGTCAGGATCCCTTGGCGTAACTATCAAACGCAGGGGGGGGGGGCCAATATTCAACTATCAGGGCGTCCCATTGACTTGCATAGAGCTCCCTGAACGTATGTAGTAGACGAGTTGGGATCACGGAGAAATGCTCTCCGCAGATTCATTCTCAGAGCGTTTATCAACCTTTTTCTGACTCAATATCAAGCCACACTTATTGTTTTTACTTCTTTATTTTAATTGAATAATGTAGGACTTTTGTTGCCGTCAGTTATGGGGAGAGTAGGGGCTCAGAAAACTGAAATCTGTATTGTTTCATCGTTTTTTCCTTCTAATTAGGGCCCGAGCACGGAGCGCTAGGACCCGACGGCGTTTCCTAGCACGAAGTGCGAGGAAACTATTGTTATTGGAGGAATTCTTCTTATTTTTCTGCTGGCGTTTCCTGTTTTTGAGGTCTTTAGGATGCTTCAAAAGTTGTATAATTTTGCACGGATTCCAGAATCGGTGAAAACTACAATATTCTGGACTCAATGTGTTCAAATTGTCTAACATGCTCTCTAGCGCCACCTATGGCCATTTCCATTTTTGGAAAGATGTACAAAGTGGCACCGTAACTCCAAATGACCTGACATTTTGCACACTTATTCGGGTGGACCTGCTCTGCATATAATCTCCTTGAACCCCTAAGCTCCGCCTACTTTATTATTTTTTTAGCAGAATTTTAAAAACAGTTAAATATTCACTTAAATTGCAAATGTTTGTTTTTCAACACCAAACTCAGTATACAGTATCGCTGGAGGGTCACATCATCGTAGTAAATGAGCATGTTCAGTCGATAAATGTGGCCGTCATTACTCTAAACGTGTTCGCAAAAAGGCGGGGCTTAGATAGAAATGCTCATAACTCAACAATGTACCAAAAAAACACATTTTGGTGGTAAGGTTCAGTCTGTATTGGGGAATAGGCACAAAAAGTAATTTTCATTTTGGACTATAGGGGGCGCCAAAAACATGACAAATGTATAACTCAAGAACTGATGGACGAAATAATTTTTTTTGTTTTAAACATATTCTGGGGATGAGTATGCACTTATATATTTTTTTTAGCACAGACATTCCTCATGGAGTTGCGGACATATTTGTAAATAGCTTCCATTAGCCCCGCCCCGCAGGAAGTCGGCCATTTTGAAAATGTTGTGTTTTTCATGCATTTTAAGCACATTCTTGCAAACTCCTCCTAGGGCAGGGGTCGGCAACCCGCGGCCCATGGGCCGCATGCGGCCCTTTAAGCCCTCTGCTCTGGCTCCCTTGAGCTTAGACAAAAATAAGAAGGAAATAAAATAAAAGTATTTGTAGGACTATTTATATTTTGTTGCATGGTTGAAAATGTTTCGTATCTTGTATTTTGAGGTGGTACTGTGACACATAAATAAAAACCAAAACGGTTTTAATTAGGTCAACTAAAATAGCGTCACATCCTGCTACAGTCCCGCGCGAGCGCCTTTTCTTGGAGGCGAATAACCTGACCCCCGGCTCGATGAGCGAACTATGGATAAAGAAAAGAAAAGTACCGGAGGAACACAGGATTTAATTCTGTGTGGACAGAAATATATGCTTTCACAGCAAACAATGCTGGTTTACCGGAATGTTTGATATGTAGAGAGAAGTTGTCAACGGTGGTGCAGCCTTTACGTATCGAGGAACAACACGGGAGAGGAAGACAGCTGACGATCTTCAGTCATAATAAATGGGGTATGTAATTTATTTCAGAAAACACTTTTTGTTATATTCCATGGAATGCTCTTAACGTCCCGATAGCAATGAATATATTAAATGCTTTGACAATAAATACATACAAAAATTAATCTCTGGAAGCCGTGGCGCTGTAGAAAGCTCGACCAATCATCTGAGCCGGCTAAAGTAACTGGATGGCCTACCTGCCTGTCAGCCTTCCATCTGTGCACAAACTTATCTCGTGCCCTCATTGGTCATGTGCGCGTTCGTGTGTGTTGGAGGAGGGACTCTGTGAGGAAGTCTGAAGGAAGAGGCATATTTTTTCCGGTTGTGTACTTTCAAATTCTAGCGCACTCGAGCTGGTTTCTCCATTCTTACCTACCCTACCTTTAACTCTTTTTAGGGTGCAGCTATATGTTTTATTTATTTCAAAGTGGGCCCATTTTAATTATATTTGTTCCTTCAAATGTGCAGAGGACTCCCCAAGTGCTGTGTTTCATTTATTTTAAAGTAGGCCTGTGTATTATTTTTAATTCTCCTTATAAGAGTTCTTTGTTTCTTATTAGAGGTTAACAGTTTTAGATCATGTAATAAATAGCCTAATAAATGCAAAAAAAACTGTAGTTTTTGTCTGATGTAACAATAAAAAACTATGAAATATGTTTTGCGGCTCCAGACAAAAAAATGTTTTGGAAAAAGGAGCAAAATGGCTCTTTTGGTCAAAAAGGTTGCAGACCACTGTCCTAGGGGAATGATCGGTAAAAAATTCCAATCCAGCACAAGTTCAGCCCCTATCCAATATGATACTTAATAGAGAAGAACATTTTTGATAGCTCAATCGTGGAGGTCGTAAGCTAACAGCGAATACACAATTTTTGACGATTTACATGTCGCAAATTACTACAAACTACTCGCTTATAGTTTTTCCGATATTCACGAAACGCTATATACACATATTATGATTGCGGATGCGGACATATTTCAAATTTGCTTTTATTAGCCCCACACCCCAGGAAGTTGACCATATTGAAGAATGTGCGTTTTTCATGCATTTTAACCTCTTAAGCCCCACGGACTCGAGCTATGTAGCAACAGTGCTATATCTGAAGTGTCATTGATGAAACTATTAATATTCCATACCCATCTGACCGGAGGAAACTCGGCTAACTGACGATACGAAAAAAACAAAAGTTTTTCGAAAAAGAAGTCTCACAAGAAGCCTCTAAATGAGCCCATGGCAAAAACGGGCAATTGCTATTTCTGCTCATAACTCACAAAAAAGATCATTTATAATTCATATTTTCTGCACAAACAACACATCTTCTGAAAGCTGAGATTCCACAGATTCCATGGGTGTACACCCCATCACTACAGGCACAACATTAACCGAGCTGGCAGCCAGAACATAGCAAGTAACCAATATCAGTTTTCAAATCCATGACAATAGTTAGGTCTTACCTTGGCTGTATTGTGATCAAAAGTTGTGTTCAAAGGAATAAAAACGCTGCTCAGGGTTAATCCAATGTCTCTTGTCACTTTAAAATGATTACTGATAATCAATCCTTTCATTCACGGCAGAAGAGTAGGTCCAACGATTAACAGTCCGTGGCTTCAGCTGCGGGAGATGCAGTTTACGCATAGCTCCCCCTCCGCAGGCGTAATGTATTTACGTATTTTGAAACTGCCACTCGATTCGATTGGCTCTAACGATTCAAAAAAGGTGTCAATCACCCAAATCGACCAATGGGTTCCAGAGATAGGATCTTGCGTAATTATAAATAAAGGCAGTATAGCTGGTTTACGCACGACCCAGTCTTTTTACGCAGCATACTAGGCTATAGCATAGCATAGCACAGCATGTCCCGCGGCGACAGGAGAGCAGAGAACGGCAGATCGATCAGCGAAACAGCAGGATTTGTTTTCTTTGTCTTCATTGTAACCATGGCAGCCAGAAAGAAGACTTTTTTGTCCGTCGAGGAGGCATTGGATATCGTATTTCAGGACTCTCCGTCGGAAGATAGTGATCTCGTCCCGCACAAAGGTGACAGTAATGACTCTGATTATGAACCTCCGTCACCGGAAAGGTAATCTCTCTGTTTGTATCTATTACTTATTTATTTGGTGTAAGAGTATTCATCTGTTTTTATCTTTTTGTTATTTATTTGGTGTAAGAGTGTATTCATCTATAGTAATTTCACACACGTGACAATAACACGACATCCATCTTGTGATATAATGTTCTTTCACACACTCAACAACAAAGAAGATGGATGCCGTTTCTTGTTCTTGTTGTTGAAATAAACAAGACATGTTGAATTTAACACGGTATTACATTACATTACGCTTTTATCCAAAGCGACTTACAATTATTACAAATATTACTTATATTATATATACACACATGCATATATATATATATATATATATAAAATATACATATATAAATATATGACAGACGGAATATTATTAAATATTGAAAAGATTATATGAATCCCGTCTCACATAATAGAAAATTCCAATCCAGGACAAGTTAAGCGCATATCCAATGCCATGCTACATTGTGCAGCGGGTTGTGCAGACTTTCGTTGACAGAAGTCCAGCCATGCGTCACACCTCTTTTAAACATCACTGTTGGCTGAAATCGTCTCCGGAGAATACTTTAATGTACCCTCGGTTATAGCTGCTCCAAAGAGACTCCTCTCTCCTCTAAATCAGTGTATCCTCGGTTATAGCTCCTCCAGAGAGACTCCTCTCTCCTCTAAATCAGTGTATCCTCGGTTATAGCTCCTCCAGAGAGACTCCTCTCTCCTCTAAATCAGTGTACCCTCGGTTATAGCTCCTCCAAAGAGACTCCTCTCTCCTCTGCATCATTGGACCCTCAGTTATAGCTCCTCCAGAGAGACTCCTCTCTCCTTTCTCCTCTAAATCAGTGTATCCTCGGTTACGGCTCCTCCAGACAGCCACCTCGATAATCGATCCTCGACGAGCTTTTAGAGAAATTTGTTTTCCTTCGAGACGGCGCGCCGACATCCGTTTCCGGGTCGCTCCCGCAGGACCTGGGAGTCTGGGACGCGAAAATTATAGAAATGAGAAACGGCTCATTTCCCAGGACTCGCGCGCGCGTCTGCTTGACGCCGGGACGACCGGCCGCCCTCCCCGACAGGCGCACGAGGGCCCGCTCATCACTCTACTAAGACACACACAGCTGTATTAACCTGGAGCACTATAGCATTATAAACACAATTCACAATTTGCAGAGAATTAATCGCAATGTAAATATGGAAAGAATATAGCAATATCAACAATAACGATGCTGCTCCATCAACACTCAGAATGACTTCATGTAGTCATAAGTACAGCAGTGAGTATATTGTTAGCACCCCCTCAGACCGTCAGAGACCACAGGAGCACAATCTCAACACTGACAGGTTTTTGTAACAGAGCGTCACAAACTTTAAGCTCAAGTTGAAATGTTTCATGTTGCACGAATACGCAGGTGACATGAATTTTCATCTTCACTTTATTAGTGTTGCCCGGCACAGATCTGGGTCTTTGCATTGACTCTACATGGGATCTCTCAAAACTCTGTTATATCTGCTAATGCTAAACACAACCAGCTGACCAGGTTATTAATATTCATTAATAATATATATCATAAACATGCCCAAGTAGTCGAGTCATTTACATTTAGAATATTTAGTATTTATCAATATTTTGCAATTTAAAACCATTTCATGCCACTGATACAATGATGCTGTAACTGCCTATAGAAATATCCTTAAATAATGTTAGCTCACTGTACTCTACTGCAGGGGTTCCCTACCTTTATTGTGCCAAGGACCGGCAGATACATTACAAAAAATGTGCGGACCGGTTGTCCATTTTAATATTTACTCACCAGGTGGCAACAGAGGCTAATTGTATGTAACAGCCTGAACAAATAATAGAACAATATTTAATTTCAAACCGTAATTTTCCAAAACGCATCAAAATGCATCCAAAACATATTAACAACGTTTAAAACCAGAACACAATTAAAACAAATTAGGACCACTGTACACATATTGATATAACTGAAATGTCAGGGAGACCCCTGGGCTTGTTTGCCAGCCATAATAACGTCATACCGGGGCGTTCGTTCGGTGCACTCCGACAGCATTTAGCACTACATTGAGATTAAGATTAAACTAACTTCTTTTGGGAACACCCACATACCTAAGGAGTTAGACAGATGTGTGTAAATTACTGTTCATGGTAATTTGAAAACAAATGCCGTTGTTGGACACACACAAACACACCGAACACACACACACACACACACACACACACACACACACACACACAGCGGAGCTGAGCAGAGCACATACACACACACATCATGCGCCTTTGTGACCGGACAAGTCAAAAGCCTTGGCGTCATCCTGGACAGCACCCTTTCGTTTGCACCCCACATAAAAAACATCACCCGGACTGCCTTCTTCCATATCCGCAACATTTCCAGACTCCGCCCATCCCTTTCACAATCCAGCACCGAAATCCTGGTTAATGCATTTGTCACATCCCGGATTGACCACTGTAATGCTATCCTCTCTGGCCTACCCACCAAACTACTCAACAGACTCCAAATCATTAAATCAGCTGCCCGGATCATTACCTGTACCAAATCGTCTGACCACATCACCCCCATCCTCATCCAACTTCACTGGCTCCCTGTTCAGCACCGGATTGACTACAAAAACCTTCTGCTTACATACAAAGCCCTCAACAACCTCACCCCCACCTATCTCTCAAACCTCCTCCAGGAATACACCCCCTCCCGCTCCCTGCGCTCATCCTCAGCCGGACTCCTGACTGTCCCCACCTCCCGCCTTAGCACCAAGGGAGCCAGGGCTTTTAGCTGCACCGCGCCCTGGCTCTGGAGCTCTCTGCCTCCACACATCAAACAGTCTGACTCCATCACGACATTCAAATCCCACCTCAAAACCCACCTGTTTAAACTGGCCTACTCACTCTAAAACACATTCAACCTGCTATCACAGATCCTCCTCTCACTCCGTCACTCCACACTCTTGTCTTGCCTGTTTTATGCTTTTATGCTGCTGTATTGCCTTGTCGGTTCGATTAAATTGTGTTCCGTTTTTGTTTTAACTTTTAAATGCACTGTAAGGCGACCTTGGGTGTCCTGAAAGGCGCCTCGAAATAAAACGTATTATTATTATTATTTCCTTCATACGAGTAATAGGGGGAATAATCGGGCCGTTCGATGTGTGTGTGGTGTGTGTGTGTGTGTGTGTGTGTGTGTAGAGGTGTGTGTGGTTGAAACGTAGCAGCCTGCAGTGGGGAATACAGTGAAGGCGGTGTGTACGCGCTGGTGCTGCACTTCTCAGAGGCTGCCTCCTGATGCTGCAGCCAGTTCATGAAGTGAAGGAGGTTTTACAAATAAACACATAGCTCTACGCCCCTGGCCGACATGTCCTTAAAATGAAGTCCGAGTTCAAAATATATCTCAAATAATGTATGACCTGCCATTTCCCCACATAAACACAACAGTCTGCGATGAAGCGGTTGTCTCCTGCGCTCCACTTCCTATTGGCGCACCGGTAACTTTCTCTGCGCACGAGAGGCTGAGACCTTATGCTTTTGTATGTTTTGGATGAAATAATATGACTGGTAAAGGTGCGAACAGTTTAACAGCTATTTCGCGGCCCAGCAGTAAGACCGGGGGTTGGGAACCCCTGCTCTGCTGCACACATGACATTAAAGAACAGTTTAAATGATATGATAACATAAAACTGAATCCTCTTCAGGTCAGTTTACAGCAGAAACTCTTACCTTGAGGGTCCAGGTTCATTACTGAAGACTGGAGGTTTCCTCATAGACCGGTCACTCTTCAGAGACTGACAGCTGGGGACTGGAGACTCTGCTCTCTGTCTGTGGAAACAACATGTTTTAAACATCATTAGTTCATTCAGAGAGAAGTCTTTCTGTTTCAGCGTCACGCCTGTGAAACCTTTTACATGTTTGTATTTTATTTGCTGAACCTTTTATTTGCTGAACCTTCATTAATAATACATATCATGAACATGCCCAAATAGTCAAGTCATTCTGGGAACAATACATTTAGTTTTGAGGATATTTAGTATTGATCAATATTTTTGCACTTTAAAACCATTTCATGCCACTGATTAGGGATGGGTATCGTTAAGGTTTTTACGGTTCTACTACTTTTATCGATACCGCTTATCGATCCGGTCCTTTAACGGTACTCTTATCGGTTCCTTTGTAAAACAAAAAAAGGTAAATGAACTAAACAAATTGTAAATAATGTGAACTTACAGAACTGTAAAAAACTAAAAAAGTATTTACTGCAGTAACACAGCAGTGCAGAGCAACACAGGTGGGGCATACAGGTGTGCTGCAAGAGGCCTAACGGTTCTTCTGGAGGAAGATTGAGGTATACATAACATACCTGACGGGGAAACGTTACTCGTGGATGGAGCTACAGAGCTTCAAGAAAGACAGTCAAACCCGGTGCATTTCTCCATCTGGATGTGGAGCACTTTTGATAAATGTTTAGACAAAACTGCTCGTGTTACCGCCCTGACATGCTAAACTCTTATTGCACTTTTGGCAACGAGCATCGAGACGGGTAAAGTTTAACCACACCTCGGAGCGAGTTCTCTCCGCAATCTCCACCGTGTGTGTGTGTGTGTGTGTGTTGCATGCATGTAGCAGCCGCATGTGTGTGTTGCATGCATGTAGCAGCTGTGTGTGTGTGTTGCATGCCCCGCCCCTGGATTGGAAAGATCAAAAATACACCATAGATGCATTTTGTAGTCGTATTGGATATTAGAAACTAAAACTGCGATATAATGTTTATGAAGCAATAACAGGGTTAATGCAGGAATCCTGAGGTCAAATTTAATACCTTTTAAGACCTTTTTTAAGACCCTTTCTATACATTTTAAGACCTCATCGCAACTTCGAGTTCCAACCGGTTACATTGGCGACACTTTACCGCACATTTACTATATTGATTGTAAGATAGCACAACTAAACAGAGTGCAGACAGACTACTGAAGCCTCCTTTCCACATTACATTGCATTTAGCTGACGCTTTTATCCAAAGCGACTTACAATTAGGGTTGCCAGAAACTGACCATGATCAAAAAAATTCCGTTGTCCGCATGTTTAACAGTACAAACAAAATAAACGACAAATAAACCAACATCAACATGATGTTGGTTTATTTTTTGTTATTTTCTAAAGTGCCTGCCATTGCCTTTATTTGGAGATGCGCTATGCGCGCACAATGTATTTATTGCAATGCTGCCATTATTAAATACAGGCTACAGCTTGTATTAATAATAGCAGCATTGCAATAAATATTATTATAGCAATTTATTTATTGCAATGCTGCTATTATTAATACAGGCTACAGCCTGTATTAATAATAGCATTGCAATAAATAAATTGTGTGCGCATCGCGCATCTTCAAATGGATGCACTCAAAACGCATTGTTGAGGTTGAGCTAGGGCTGTGCGATTATGGCAAAAATCATAATCACGATTATTGGGTCAATAATTGATATCACGATTATTTTGACGATTATTCATTGAACATTTATTGAACTTTAAAACAAATAATATTTGACCGATAAACAAGATCAACAAATATGTTGGAGCGCACTTCCAAAACCATACTAAACATATGATAAATAAAAATAAATTAGACCAAAATAAATTAAATCAAATATTTTGCAGTGCACTGTCATAACCTACAGAAAACTCCTTAACCTCTTAAGCCCCAAGCCTGTTTTTCAGGGTTCAGGCTCGAAAATGACATGCCCAAAACAAAGGACTATAACTTAACTTCTAAAAGGGTTATATGAATAATTTCTTTTATCAAAGCAAGGTCACATCTGTGAGTTGGATGTAGAAGTGTCAGAATCAATAAAGATGTTTCAGTGTCAGAGTAAATCCAGATGGAACATAGTCAAAAAGTGTACATTTTTGTCTCCGCCCAAATAAAACCCATTACTTATAGTGAAAACCACCCTTGAATGATGGGTTAGTAGCCTAAAAGCTTTAGGAATCCAAACTATAACATATAATAAGTACCCTGTATCAAGATTGAGGCAAAACAAGTGAAAATTTACCTTTTTAGAGAGATTTAGCAAAAAAAAGTCCAAGCGGACTAAGCTTTGGGCACATTTGGTTCCATCAGTGCCATTTAACCTTTTTCAGGTACCAGACTGTAAAAATCATTGTACAACATTTAATTATCACTATAGGTATTCATTCCATAAAAAAAAAAAAAAATTATTGTTAAAAAAAATAATAATAATTAAGTGGGTGTGTGTGTGTGTGTGTGGTGTGTGTGAGTGTGTGTGTGTGAGTGTGTGAGTATGTGTGTTGTGTGTGTGTGTGGTGTGTGTGTGTGGGTGGAGTGTGTGTGTGTGAGTGTGTGTGTGTGGTGTGTGTGTGTGGTGGAGTGTGTGTGTGGAGTGTGTGTGTGTGGTGTGTGTGGGAAGTTCCCTCTTTGCATGAGATGCATGTTACTTGCACAATAAAAATGAGGAAACTTAGGAAACATTCGACTCCAACTCGAGCAGATTTATTAAAAAAAATTAGCAACACACTATACAACAAGCATTTTTTGAGTAAAAAAAAAAAACTTTATACAAACACTTAAAGAGCCTGTGACAGCATCCCAACAACTGTTGTGCAATGAAATATTGGGCTACTATTAATCTCGAACCGTAAGTTTAAAAAAGAAAAAGCGATACCGTTCCGTTAAATATCAATAATTTCGAACATCGCGGGGAAATTCCTTCGACTCATTTTGGAGTTTTGGGGGAAGCCGGAAGTGACGTCAATGCGGGAACGCTTCACTGTGCGGCGAGAGAGCCGAACACGGACAAAGTGTGTTGTCATGCGTAGAAATGGTGAATTACTGAGTTTAGGCACGTTAATAACGTTGTAATGAAGTTGACTACAGTATATTCATATTTGTCAGTGCTTTCATGTCAATTCGGCGAACATAAACATACATGATCGTGGTGAAGATGATGATTACATTAGGATTACAAATCGGTAGTGAGAGCTGCTGAATTTCCTCCCGTCGGATGTGATATAAAAACAAATCGATTATGTTTGTAGTTGTAAACTCAAGTGGATGAAACTACATGTATTAGTGCTTTCATGTCAATTCGGCGAACATATGATACATTAAATGATCGTGAGGATGATGATTACAAATCGTTTGTTTGAGCCGGTCTGCATTTCCTGATGAGAAAACCACCCGATGCTTGTTGTAGTTGTAGTACACCAACATGGATTAAACGTGTGTTTTTTTCACCACAATGTTGGGAAATTAATGGATAAAATGCACGGATTATTATTATTATTATTCCCACTCCGATCGGGACACCAGGTCCACCGTTTCCCCGCAGCGAGGCTCCCCCCGTTGACAGTTTACGTGGGCTGGGTGCAGTGGCGGACTGGCCATCGGGACGAATCCCGATGGGCCGGTACCGAAGTGGGCCGGTCGGATAAGTCACTGCACATCCCCCATAGGCGGCGCGTGAGGCTCAGGTTTGGGAAGGCTACATAACTTTTTTTACGCCTCCGTCGTCTATAGAAAAGAGATCAACTCAGTGTGCGGAGTTTAAATCTCTCAAGTCATATTACAGGATAAAGGAAATACAGTTTAAACTGCCGTATGCAGAGAAGACGCCGACGTGTCGCACTTATCATTCATATTACATCATCAATCAGATCATCGATCATATAATATCATAATATATCATATATCTCCTTATCTGAGTCAGCTTCTCCAGCCATATCTGGCCGTGCAACACTCACAGTGTCACATACTGTATGCAGAAGTATTATTTTAACACATGATGTTGACGAAACACTCGAGTCAAATGTAATTAAAGTCAGATCCACTCGTGTCTTAGACGTGAACGCGCTCTCAGCTGGAGAGAGAAACCCTGGCTTGATTTACCGAGTTGATAACCAGCGTCGTAGGACCGCTTAGCGAGATCTCGTTTGTTGTTGTTAGTTAGTTTGTTACTCAAACATATCCAGGGTCTGTTGAACTGGCTTCGTAGTACAGGGCACAGGTGGCTGGCAGCGCTAATGTCAAAGACACAGACATTGCATTATATTTGTATTTTACCAGGATGCAGTGACACAAATATTTACATATTTACATTTACTATCTACAGCACCCGCCGCCCCTGACATCCCCCACTCCCCTCGTTGACAACTTACTAGCAGTACCGAAGTGGGCCGGTCGAGAGTCCCGGGATGATTTTTAGTCCCATTCCACCACTGGCTACATGACCGTATGATCGCCCATATTGACGCACCTAATTCCTAAACTTCTAACAGATACAATAAACCGATCCTTCAGCCTCATATGAGCTCTCACACACGTTCAACATTAAACTCTCATCGCTGTCTGAGCTTGCTGCTGTGTGCGCCATCGTGCGTTTACATGCAGATGCTGGGATCCTGGACGGTGCAGCTGGAGCGCTGTGCCCGCAATGACGTCACACATCATTTGGCGGGACTTGAAGAATCCCCGAGCAGATCCAGGAAATGGTCAACATTGAAGGGCAGATTAATAGTTATCAAAGTACAAATATCCAAAATCAGTTCAGTAACGGTTTTCAAGGGGACAATATTTACTCAAATTGATGGGTTTGGATGATGGGGGAAACTCGTGTCACAGGCTCTTTAATGTTACAGTATTACTCCAGTAAGTCATGCCATGCCCTGTAAAAGTTATGTTTGGTAGTGAAGCACAGAGGGACCTGACACTTCCTGCAGTACACAGGTGTCTTCATCCTTCAGTTGCCAGCATCAGAGCACCTCCTGCAGTACCTCCTGACCTTGGTGGCATCTTCCCCATAATACTCAGGGCATCCAGAAGCCATATCCTCATCGCCTTCCTCACTGTGAAAACAAATGTGGAAAAAACACAGATTAATTCTCTGGCTTGTACTTTCAAAAATGTAACTCAAATCAGAAATAATTTCTCTACAACAACAGCAGAACATCAATTTTGAGTGTGTGAAATAACATTATATCACTCAAAATGTATACCGTGTAAATTATGTGAGACGGGGTTCATATAATCTGTTCAATATTTAATATTAATATTCTGTCTGTCATATATATGTGTGTGTATATATATATATATATATGTGTGTGTATATATATATATATATATATATATATATGTGTGTATGTATATATATATATATATGTATATATATATGCGTGTGTATATATATTTAGTTGTAAGTCACTTTGGATAAAAGCGTCAGCTAAATGTAATGTAATACCGTGTTAAATTCAACATGTCTTTTTCAACAACAAGAACAAGAAACGGCATCCATCTTCTTTGTTGTTGAGTGTGTGAAAGAACATTATATCACAAGATGGATGCCGTCGTGTTATTGTCACGTGTGTGAAATTACTATAGATGAATACACTCTTACACCAAATAAATAAAAACAGATGAATAATCTTACACCAAATAAATAAGTAATAGATACAAACAGAGAGATTACCTTTCCGGTGACGGAGGTTCATAATCAGAGTCATTACTGTCCCCTTCGTGCGTGACGAGATCACTATCTTCCGACGGAGAGTCCTGAAATACGATGTCCAATGCCTCCTCGACGGACAAAAAAGTCTTCTTTCTGGCTGCCATGGTTACAATGATGACAAAGAAAACAAATCCTGCTGTTTCGCTGATCGATCTGCCGTTCTCTGTTCTCCTGTCGCCGCGGGACATGCTGTGCTATGCTATAGCCTAGTACTAGCGTACAAAGACTGGGGCGTGCGTAAACCAGCTCTACTGCCTTTATTTATACTTACGCAAGATCCTATCTCTGGAACTCATTGGTCGATTTGGGTGATTGACACCTTTTTTGAATCGTTAGAGCCAATCGAATCGAGTAGCAGTTTCAAATTAAGTAAATATGTTACGCCTGCGGAGGGGGAGCTATGCGTAAACTGCATCTCCCGCAGCTGAAGCCACGGACTGTTAATCGTTGGACCTACTCTTCTGCCGTGAATGAAAGGATTGATTCTCAGTAATCATTTTAAAGTGACAAGAGACATTGGATTAACCCTGAGCAGCGTTTTTATTCCTTTGAACACAACTTTTGATCACAAAACAGCCAAGGTAAGACCTAACTATTGTCATGGATTTGAAAACTGATATTGTTTACTTGCTATGTTGTGGCTGCCAGCTCGGTTAATGTTGTGCCTGTAGTGATGGGGTGTACACCCATGGAATCTGTGGAATCTCAGCTTTCAGAAAATGTGTTGTTTGTGCGGAAAGTATGAATTATAAATGATCGTTTTTGTGAGTTATGAGCAGACATAGCAATTGCCCGTTTTTGACATGGGCTCATTTAGAGGCTTCTTGTGAGACTTCTTTTTCGAAAAAAAAAATTGTTTTCGTATCGTCAGTAAGCCAAGTTTCCTCCGGTCAGATGGGTATGGAATATTAATAGTTTCATGAATGACACTTCAGATATAGCACTGTTGCTACATATATAGCATTTTCGGACCCGAGCTCGGGTCCGTGGGGCTTAAGAGGTTAACACATAGCCAACATGGCCACCATGGCAAATTATGGTAGAGCTGCTCATGTCATCTCTTAAAGGTTTTTTGCAAGAAACACCAGCCTGTTTACATGGTCTGGTTTCAGAGATGAGCGCAGGCAGGTGACAATATTGCCACCCGTACTGAAGACCCTCTCTGAAGAGGAACTTGTGGCTGGGATGCACAGATACTTCCTTGCCAGGATGGAGAGCCGTGGGTAGAACTTCCGGGATTCCCTCCACCACTTTAGTGGGTCCTCCTCAGCATCCAGTGGCACTGCCTGGAGGTAGGACTGTAGCTCAAGAGCTATGGCCTTGTCCTTTTCCAGAGCAGGTTGAGGTTCTGCAGCTTGGTCTACGGTGGCCTTGAAGAAGCTCCCCAGTCCCTTCTTCTTTGGTGCAGCTGCAGCAGCATCCTCCGTGTCATCGGCAGGCACCGCTGCCGTCTCAAGAGGGGCGTTCTCCTTGGAGTATTATAAAGAAAATAGGAATGACATGTTTAATCAGACTAAATGGTTATGGGTATTAACATTTATACCTTGAATTACATTATAACACTTTGACAACACATTCATTCACTTAATTGTATTTACTGTCAAATCTCATTTTTATTTTTTATTATTATTACCATGAGTGTCATCATCCTCCTCATCTCAGTTGTCAGGCTGGCTTCAATGGATCCTCGATTGTCCTCACTGACATATTTGAGCTTGAACCTCGGGTCCAGGGCAGAGGCCATGTCAAGCAGCTCTTGTGTCGCTGCGTCATCATATTTGTCATTGAGATAGTCTAGTATCTTCTTTTTTATGCTTTTTGTGAGGTCTGTGTCATCCTCCTGCACTGCCAGCAATGAGTTGTTGAAGAGGTGCAGGGTTGGTTTAAAAAAAAGACACACTTACATACTTCTCTCCAGAAAGTGCATCTGTGAATTCCACCAGAGGGCTAAGCGACTTATTGATTGCCTCCAGTACATCAACGTCCTGCCACGTGAGGGAGAGATGTCTGGTTTTCCGGTCGCTGGAAAGGACCTGTGCAATGGCCTTCTGCTGCTCGAGGACCCTGTCGATCATGGCCTGCCTAGATCCCCATCTGGTTGGACATTCTGTCTTTAGGGAGTGTTCAGGCAGATTCAGCTGCTGCTGTGCCACTGCAAGTTCCCTCTTCTTTTTCCAACTGTAGGAGAAGCTGCTGACCAGCTTCTTGCAAAGCCCCATTGCACGGCCGATCCTGGGATCCTTCATTGCATTCTCTAAGATTACAACAAATACATATTATTTATTATCATGATGATAATCATGATCTTCATCAAAGCATAATTTGGTGTGTTGTGTGTGTGAGAGAGAGATAGA